TTTCAAATAGCATATTATTTTGTGCATGGAACTTGGATATCATCTTGTGGATGTAAATAAAATGGTTGCATTTATCTGACAAGTTGAATAAGGTCAATTTTTTTATGCCACAGAGAACTACCATGGCAAATATTCTGAATAATCAAATTCATGTAATAGTAGGTTTTTAATTCTACAGCAATTTTTATCAGAATGCTAAAAAACTTCATATTGTATTTGCTTTTAAATACATGGTAGTGAGATTTGGAAAGACCAAGTGATATGTCCAGCATCAGTTAATCTGTGACAGACCTAAAAAGAAAACAGATTTTCTCAATACCATTGTAGGAAATGCTATTAAAATTAGGGAATTAAAACTACCTTACTATTTCAGTTAAAATATCAGAAACAGAATATCTTAAATAACCTTCACATCAAATTGTCAAAGGCAAACAGAGTTAGTATTTTGTTGGCCAATGATCATTAGTATCCTGGAATCATCATTAAAACTCACTACCTGTACCTCAGGATCAATCTACAGATAAAAACTTTATAATTTGAAGATGGATATTATACATATTTTTACATGCCATGTTCTAATGATAACAGAAAACTAAAGCAAATATTTTTTTCCTATTTCTTCTTTCATCTCCCACAACAAATTATGTATGAAGTATAAGTGATATGAGTTCATCAACCCTTTAAAAGATGTCAGTATAGAGCTGCTTTACAGACAGCCTCTTTTTTCAGACTGCACCTCTATCGGGTATGAAAAGATTACACTTCTGCAAGTTATTTTACAGACAGGGATAGGACTGTTCTTTAAAATCAGAAAGAGAGAGATCATCTACACAAATCATTACAATTTAGAAATGTCAATTAACCCCCCAATCTTGAATATGTCTATTATTATATTGCACTGCAAGCTATATATTTTACATAAAATAAAGAGATAATATAAGTCAAAAGTACAAATACCTGTCTCAAGACTCTAACATCCACATGCTTGTGCTGTACCTGCTGGGTACAGGCAGTACCCAGAAAACTGGCTAAGTCCCATCATGTAAAACGGTTGAAAAGTATTATTCATTACAGATATTGCAGCCAACAGGTGACATAGATACACTCAAAAAAAATTTGAACCTTGAGGACCCAGTAGACAAATCCTTCACCTACCTGCACTCCACATATTTTTTATTACTCTATACTACATGATAAAATAAAGATTTTCAAGTTCCATAACAAAGAAGAAAAAATATGAAGTATAATTGTAAAAAATGTAAAAGCCACAGGAAAAATAGTGTATGTAAAAAAGTAAAAATAAAAAAGGTCTTATATAGTAAGTTAATGACACAAAGTTTGTGATGAAAAATCCCATTATATTATTGAGCTTAAGACTATCTAAATTATAATGGAAGGGGAAAGGTCATCACTCTCCTGACTCACTCAGAGGTGGGAAGGTGTGTTTTGGCCTTTCATTCTTTTACAGCCAGCAGTAAAGGTCAGTAGTGGTATCAATCACATGGAAAAAGGGAGGACTGGAGAAGGAAACGTATGGTTTTGTAACTGCATTTACAGTTCTACACCAAATAGATAAAGGAGAAACAGAAAGCTTAGGTTTATATTGTCTGTATTTCTCCCTCTAAAATAACAGTAACATCAGTAAAGCAGGCAGAAAGGAAGAAAAAAACCCCATGTAAACAAAAGAACATCATAAACAGTTTAATTTTATAACTACTTGTCTGTCTAATGTCACTTAATTGTTAAAATATTAAAACTTGTACATTTGCAAGGTACTACAGAGGAAAAGCAAGCGTGTTTTATATGTTTAATGGTGTAATTCATCATTTTTGAGATTAAATTCCCACTTGAAGTGTACAGTGGAAAAGTAAATTTGATTTCCTCCTTCTGGTAAATAAAAGTAAAGCTATATTCTGCCAGCTCCAGGGGTGTCAGCAGAACAGTTTCATCACTGTTCAAGACTGACTTCTTTTCAGTGATAGGCAGAGTGGAAGAAATAAAAAAGTTATTTGAAATGTCCCTAATTCCATTGTCTCTTTGGTTCTTTCTTCCTTGGGAAGTTTGCAGTGTATGAATTTTTAACATCAACAAAGGCCCAAGGAAGTTCTACTGAAAAAACAAACAAGACATATACAACAATAATATTGAAAGATGTGTATCTTCGTGGAACAAAGGAAAAAATACTTCCAACATAGAGGTTTCGGTTATGTTTATGGCAATTCAATATAACACAACACGACAGTTCTGAAGAAGCTGTTTTCTTCTACTATGTAAAACAATTAGAGACTATTCTCTTCTTGAGAATCATAAACCAAGTAGTTTTATGAACACTGAATTAAAAAAAAAAAGAAAAATCAACAAAAGCTGAAATAGCCATACAAAGGAATTATGATCTCATCTGAACAGAGGCAAAGTGAGTCATTAAAAGGAAGATATAATACAAGCCAGATTTCCTGCCCAGCTTCCTCTGACCTGTTGGCAGAACTATTTTCCTCTTGCGGTAAAAAGTGTGCCTAGCAATTGTTCTGCCCACTATGCAAGCTCTGTCAGGACAATACAACTGACATGCTCATACAGCAGGAAGAATCACATCAGGTATGCACATCAACACATGCACTTGACAGCTCTCTAATTGCAATGACTTGTGGGGAGTCCTCCAACCCAGTTTAAAAATCTCACTCCAACAGCAACCCAGCATTATGTACAGCTTAAACCTTGTTTAATTACTTACTAACCTTTACTGTAAGAACAACAGATACTGTCATATTGGGTACTTACATGACTGCTGACAGGTTTGAAACTACTGCATTGGAACCTATTTTCATGTGACAGCCGCAGTGCAGATACTTGTCTGTACACTGGTGCTGAATGCTAATCACTAATACAGTCTGGGAACAACTGCCAGCTACATCACTTATCACTAAAATGAACAGAAAGGCCTTAATTGTCTTATCATGTACTTTGTGCTTTCTGCTAGAATGGCTAGAAACCACCATGAAATACTAGGAGGGACAAAATAATTATAAACCAGTAGGAATTTCAAGGGTTAATGATAAAAGCAATTCCAAAAGTAACCTAAGGAACTCATTCTTCTACATATATACACTTTAAATGCTATTCAAAAGAGATCTTTACTGTGTATGAAAACTGAATTGAACACAGGTTATGAAAAAAGTGTTATTCAAAGATGTAATGTGGGATATAGACAGGACATAAAGCATAATTTCCCTCAGTTTGAATATTTAGCTATATCACTTGACAATATTCTCATAGAATACCTTTCTTGAAAAATAAGTACTTTTAGTTATTAAAAAGTAATTTAAAGTTTATATGCTGTACAGTAATTTTGAAAATTCAAAATTCATAACACAGATGCAAAGTAGGTACTTCTCTGATGCTAGTTAAGCAGCATGCTCAAATAGTATTTCCTGTAAATAAAAACACCTCTTCCTTTTTCTCCAAATAATGATCATCATGGTATACACATAATTAAAAAAAAAGTAAAGAAAATTTTTTCAGAAAAGAAAAAATAGTAAGAACACTTAAAAAAATATGTGCTCAACATTTTCAAAACTTTCTAATTAAAATACATAAAATGCTAAAATTAAGAGACAGAAAAAAGCCTGAACAGTGTTCATAAAATACCCATAGCTGCTGGAAAAGATTTTATCTTTGTCATATGATGATGAAGCCAAATAACTGTTGCTGGAATGAATGCAGGCTGATGATCAAGGTTTTCAAATTGAAGTGAGGGATATCACAATTTGTATTTTTCTTAGTAGTTCCTCTGTCTGTACAAATTCTCTCTAAAGTTCATTACTTTCTGTATTAGATGTCACTTTCAACAGATAGTCATGTCTTTATCAAAAATGTGATATATCGCTTTAATATGTTTATGCCCTGTTGTATGTTAAATTGTTCATACAGCCAGCAAGTTCTAAGCAGTTCACAAAATATCAGAGAATCAGTAATTAAGAACAATGTTAACTTCAGGGGCAAGAAGCTACTTGTGAAGAAAAGTTTTCTGCTATCTGATGTAATTTATGCAAGATCTGATAAAAGCATTCACCTAACTTAAATAAACAAATTGTGTGTTAAAAACTGTTAGCATATACTGAATACCTGTATTATTTGAACACAAAGTACATTAAATTTAACAGTTCATTAAATAAATTAATAACATATTTATTAAGCATGAATTAGAACTTAAAAGCATGGTATGAATTAACTTTAAGAATTTTCACAGGGAAGGCAAAAAGATAGAGTATGATGCTTTGTGGACATAATGAACTGGACATTTTTTTTTTCCAGTTGAAAGAGAAATAAATAAGTGTAATTAAAACACTGTTAAAAGTATAGTTTATGCATATAAAAATAAGACATGAATTAAACTTAAACATGTTTACTATGATTTAAGTGAGACTTAATTTAACTTCATTCATCAATAAATTTTAATTTCAAATTTATTTTTTATTACACCCACTTTTCAAATAATGCTCCCAGTGTTACCGTCCACAACACATTTCAAAATTCCTAAAGCAAATAAATAAATAAATAAATACATACAGCCGTTTGCCATTCCTATGCTAATATCCAATTAATTAAGCATGAATTTAGGGGTAATTCCATTACAATTTATAAATATTCCTGGAAGTAAATACGTGTGTGCATATATACATATAAGTATGCCATGAGTTACTCTGTCTACAAACACACCAGCATGTATTCTTTCTATTTATTAATCAAATAAAATTTTAAGACGACTATTTTACAAGATATTTTGCTTTCAGCAGGCATTTAAAAAACACAACAAAACAAAGTAAAAGAAGAAAATCGTTTTCAATTCAGTTTACCAATTTCTAACAAGAGTTAGATAACTATGGTTATGGGTGTATATATGTGAATGAACGAATAAATCCTTAACCCACCATATCTTTTTCTCCAGTTTGCAAGCTGTCACCCGTGAAAAGTATGGTGTAGATGGTAGGATGATACTGTACCTGATTGGCTCTGGAGGTGGTCATGGGATCAGATGGAGAGGACTTGGTGGTAGTTGGGGAAGATGGCAATGTCTGGGAACAAAGCAGTTCAGGAGCAAATCAACCTTTACAAGCCTTAGACTGAACAGTTAAAAAAAATAAATAAGCCAACAAAAGTAACATAACTAGAAAATCAAAATAAATAAAAAATGCCTAAGACAAAATTTTTCTCCTACTCATTGGAACTTAATGGAATTTAAAGTCAATTGGATAAATAATGCATGTAAATATGCATGCTTATGCATGTAAAAACAAATTCATGACTTGAAATCAAGATGGTGAACTCACATACTCAAAAATATGCTGACCGCATGAGGAATATATTCTTTCCTCTCTCCTCCTCTTGGGAAAAATGAAGACTATAGTAAACACAAATTCCAGCAAGTTCAATGAGCACACTAGAAACAGCTATCAGTCTACAAACAAACAGGGCGAACATCTAAAAGAAGTTAGACACATTAACCTTGGTACCTTATAATGCACCATTCTATAGCACAGACTGTCACCAACAAAATGTGTTCCAGATGTTACAACAATTACACTGTATCTACTGATTTTTTTTGGGATATACTAACTGCTAAAATATTTATTGATCTTTTTTAATTAAGAGGCAGGTGAAAAAATATAAACATCAATCTCATGATGAATGAACATGCAACTAATACCTTCACAACAAATAACTAAAATATATTTATGATTAATGTTAAAAATGTCCATTTAGTTGAGCAAAGGTTAATAACTTATCAGGCCTGTGTTCAAAATAAACACAAAAAAGAATTAAGAGTCATATTTATTGATCATGTTTTCTAAATGATACACATATGTTTAACATTAATTCTTGAACATATCAGAAAAGCACTGCTCTGTTTAAAATTTTTATATACACATTTTTCTTTTTAAAATATTAGATCCTGACAGAATAACTCTTCTTTTCCTTTTATAAATGTAATGAAAATCTAAAATTCCAATTTTCCAAATGTAACATACAAGACTTATTCAAAGCATGCTTTTTGACAACTTGGTAATATATAAATATTATAAAATATCCAAAATTACACTACTTTAAGAAATAAGATGTTAAAATGCTACACACTGTGATTTAACATATGGTCACATAATTGCTAACCAAAACTATTTAGAAATAAATGCAGCAAAATTTCACACGTTAGCAGTTACTTACAATCATTGATAGTCCCTCATAAAATAGGTATACATACTTTTGCACTAAAACTCTTAATGCATATGAGAAAGCTGGGACACTGTGAATGCATAAAGTTATGTATTAGCAAAAGATGGGCTTATACATATGCACACATAAATATTTTAGTTGTATGTTAAGCAATATGAAGATCCATTTTTTCATAGTTTGTACATAAACAAGCAGCCAAAACAGGAAAAAAATCTTAAGAAACAGATCTATATTTTGTGTTTCCAACTTGCAACTTATGTTATAAAACAATAAAAAAAATACAGATACAGCTTAGGCATCAACTTGGACTCTTTCAAGGGGCTTAAGTAAAAAATACTAGATATGTATATAGGGAATTATAAAATATATGTAGCTTGGCAAAATGTTATTGGTCAGCAGACACTATACGTTTTGAAAATCAGAATAAAGGATTCCCATGTCTTTCTGTACAGAGCATGGGTTCGCTCATAAGGGGCCAGAATTATTTAGAAAAAGAAATGTCAGATTAGTACAGGCCTAACACTATTCAATTACAGAAATATACTTCTGATTTTAATGGGATGATGCAGTAGTTCTTTTACCAACATGTGAAACTAAAGTGAACTGATTTTCATTGTTTAACCTTAAACAGGGGAAAAAACCCCCAAACAAACAAAACCAAAAACCCAACCAAATGGAAGATTGTAACTTATCCCAATAGGTTTTCTTTATTATAGCTACATATTAAACTTTCATCCTGAACTAAAATAGTATATTAAAAAAGTTGTTACTGTTGTCCAGCAAAACTGTAGCAATATATTGTGACTAAAGTATTTCAGACATCCGATAGTTTGTGTGATCAACACCACTGCCAACTAGGGCATAGTGACTGTATATTGTTTTTGTATGCTAGGCTAATTAATAAAAGAAAAAATAGTTCATTTTTCACAGGTATTAGTAAATCTAACTACTGGATTTATAAGAAAATATGTAGAACACTTGAATATCAAATAATGACCTAATCACTGATACCAAAAGTAATTTAAGAAACTGGAAGAGTCTCAGTTTTCAATTAATATCAATCTTCCTAGGGCACAGAAATGTATGGTTGCGATGAAAACAGAGTGATGATACTCATTTCAGGGAACTGTTGAACTATAATATCTATTAAGTAGAAGCATTTAACCTCTCTATTTTAGCAAAAACTTGGTTAAAGTACAACAATAAAAAGATAACAACATTTAAAATCAAAACAATTGTGTTAATGAATAAAAATCAAGTACTGGCATACATGTTTTTTTCCAAATATGTGTAACAATGACAAAATACTGAAATAGCAGTAAGTTTTTTTGCTTTGTGGTTTTGGTGTTTTTTCTTTTTATATAGGTTGGTTGTATTTGAGGCTTAATCTCTCTTACTTTGTTTATTGACATAACTGGTTTTTTAAACTGACAGCATCTTGCAAAAATTCATCCCTCTTCATGCTACTGTATAATTCTGGAAATACATGAATTTATCGAGACATACCTATTTAATTCTTCAGTATTAAGGTAATACAAAGCAATTACTCAAAAATATATATATAAAAAAAGAAGGAGCAGAACCATTTCGATTTTGTATTGAATTTCCACTGGCTGATAAGTAATTTATTGATACACTCTCAATTGCTTCGTAAGAACTATTAGGTAAAATTACTTTTTAAAGAAAGTTGGACAGAACTCAGTAATTCTGATTTATTATGCAGCATAGATTTTTTTTTTTTAAATTTGGCAAGCGTTTAACATTAGTAGAGCACTTGAATTCAGTAGTTATTAGGCTTCTGGGAATGAGATGTATAAAGTGATTAGAAATCATAAGATAAATTTACAGTAGAGTTCCAATACTTGCGACTGAAACATGCATACTATAACTGAATGTTTCCTGAAATTGCAGGTTGTCTGGTGGCAGGGTTATAGAAAAAAGCCAATCAGAATTTCTACCACACACCACTTCTAAGACTTGTGGGGGTTTTTTATGCTATATTTTACTTAGTAGTATAAGTCATAATGAAATTGCTCTTCTCTGTTTTCTCAAATATTACTTTCCTATTACTTATGAGACAATGAATGGGAGACTATATTTACAAGTAACAGTGTTGCTATACTTGGATTCATTATACTGTGAGAGTCTGCTCTCAGGCTGCAAAACATACTAAAGGTTGCAGAAATATGGTCAAAGCATCGCACTTTCATGCTTCATATTTCTGAGTCACAGAGCGAAGATACAGCTGTATTAAAACAGTACAGACTAGATACACTCCATCTGCAGTGTTCCTAAAGGTCTCTGAACTCTCTTTCAATGACTTCATGAATTGCCTAATGCAGAGCAATGTATAAATGATGTCATACACTTTATCACACACTAAACAAATGTCAATACTTACACCCTCGTTACTAAATATTGCACTGAGAAGGTTACTTCTCAGTACGTAGTATATTTTTATATAGGAGAGTAGAAAGAAAAGGCAGAAAATGAAACAGCATTTGAAAACAGGGTTAGGCACATAAAAGCATATAAAGAGTATCATTTATATGTGAAAATGAAACTGCATTTAAAGATTACCAATTTTCAGTTTCTCACTACAGGGCTTGCCAAACAAAATAAATCTTGGTAATAACATTACCCACATTAAATTACTATGAATACTAAGCTACTACTGAGTTTCAGTCTTGCATATATTAATCCTGGTGCTTTTAAATCACTGAAATTAATGTGATGACAAAACTAATTTGCTTAAGCCAATATTTTAATGCACTTTAAGAAAAGGTGGTATCTGTTTTGAATTGTATTAAACAGTTGAAAACCTTCTGCAGCTAAAACGTCAGAGAGCACTGCAAGGCCCCATTCTGCTGAACAACATGAAAAACTGTCTAGACTTTCAACAGTATCAGAGATGAGCCATTCTAAACAGACCACTTGCTTTCTTAAACATATTGAGTCTTCTTTTCATCTGCTTTGAACTCCTTTAATATGTAACTTTAGCAAATAATTCTCATGTCAGCGATGATTGTATAAATACATAACACATTTCAGAAGTAAAATTTGGGAAAAAAACTAATCCAGAATTAACAATTTATTTACAATCCAGATTGTAAAAAGGCTACCTTTGATGACTTCAGTGATCTAATTTTACTTTCTACCTTTTCACTTCTATAAATAACAAATAAAATACAATCTGATGGTATTTCATCCTCTTTACATTTGGTCTTGTTTTTGTGATAAGAATACACAGGTCATAGGGCAAGACAAAAAGACTAAGCAAGCTAGCATATATACACTGGACGCTTATGTAAAGGTGTTTACAGAGGTAATTTATCTGCATATCTGAACTCCTGGGGACTTGTCTTTGAAGGAGAGAAGTGTGATGATGTAACTATGATGTAAAAGAAATTATCTCCTGTTCTGTCTGGGGACAAGAAGGTGTCAGGAGCTTAAAGCAAACCAACAGGTGATATTTGGATCATCAGAGCAATTCTGGATGGAGAAGGAATGATTTAGGATGAAGACTGCAGTAAAATGGACAAAGAAGAATCAGGACCTTCTCTTTCCTCAGAACTTGTCACACTAACACAGAAATACTACAAGATCTGGTGCTGTTATACAGTAGTACTAGAAAACTCAAGTAAGTAACCAAACACAAGCATCAAAACACATAAGATACAGGTCTCAGATAAAATGTCAATAAAGCTCAAATCCTAGAAGGAAAGAAAATGTCACCTTTTGATTCTGGGCTACTCTGGGATTTGGAAAAATACCACCAAAACTAAAAACATCAGAAGGTGTAAGATAACTTCAGAATTTTCTTAAGAATCAGAACACTGTTGGA